TTCCGGAGGCGCGGGACGCTTGGTTTGTGGCGACTTCGCTTAGGCCTCTGTGCCGTACTACCGGTAGAGGCTCTCTTTACCTGAAACTTTAGAGTCTCAGGCCATTTGAGGCCGTTTGAGGCGAAATGGTTCCGGGCGAGAGAGGATCAGGCGGTGGCAAAGGAGGGGCCGCCTCCATCTCAGGCTGCCCGTAGGGAAAAAGCCTGAGGGGCCCTCGCAGTCGTTGGAGCCTGCGCTTTCTTCCTTTGCTGGGCCCTGCCTACTGCGAAGATGAGTTCGGCCTGGGTCCCTTCTTTCGAGAAGGAGCATCTCTGGATGTATCTGCAGGCGCTCGGCTTTGAGCCGGCCTCGGCGACCGTAGCCGGTGGAAAGATCGTGTCGCACACGCACCTCGGAGTGTAAGGAGGCCGGGGCCGGCGGGGCGGGGGAGTCTGAGCCTGGCCGTGCTGGCGTGACCCGCCTTGTTGCGGACCTCGTAGGTTGATGAATTAAGTAGTCGGTTACTGGGGCCCGGCACTGGCTGCAAAGTTCCTACTTCCAGTGGCTGCCAGCCTGGTGGCAGGAGACTGTTATGGGACCTTGCCGGGAGCGCTTTGTAGGGGAGTAGAGTCTGCAGTTGGGGCGAAACTGAAGGGGCGGCTTATTCCTGCTTTGGTAGTGAAGCTGTGTGGTCTGTGAAGTCGAGGGAGAGGTGGCGGTTTGGTAACGGAGGGACTCGGGAACGCCTTCCGTTAGGTGCAAACGCCTTTAGGACTCGAGGGAGACTTTCAAGGTAGTTGATCTTTAGTTTATAATTTTCACTAACTGAAATAGCAGACTGAAGCCTGCCACAGTTAGCAAAAAACTAGTAGAGAGTGGTATTAAGATGAAAAGTGAAAAAAAGCCCCTTCCTGCTTTGCTACAGATGTTACAGATCTCATCATAAAACTTAATGCTTGGGCTTCCCTGGTGGCGCAGTGGTTGAGAGTCCGCCTGCCGATGCAGGGGACGTGGGTTCGTGCCCCGGTCCGGGAGGATCCCACATGCCGCGGAGCGGCTGGGCCCGTGAGCCATGGCCGCTGAGCCTGCGCGTCCGGAGCCTGTGCTCCGCAACGGGGGAGGCCACAACAGTGAGAGGCCCGCGTACCGCAAAAAAACAAAAACAAAAAACTTAATGCTTTGTTTATATTTTTATGTCTTAACTTACCAACTTTAGACAGTCTCTGTTATCTTGCCCACTATAGGCCAAGGAAAATTTGGGATACATAGGCTATCTCCTGTTCTCAATCTTCTTGACTTTTGTAATTACGTTATTTCCGTTTTTCTTGTGGCAGTATTTAAATAATGTGCTTAGACCTCTGTTTCTTGATGTATCAATCTCAAAAGTATCTCTGGATTCCCCACGATGTAATTTCACAGTGAAGGCTGCTATTCTTTATACGATAATTAGCGCACCTACACTTACCTACCCTCTGCCTTCTCCCTCTTGACTTTTTTCAGCTGTATTAGAAGTGTTTTACTGTCAAGGTTTAGAGCTGTAATTAAGTTTTGTTTGGTAACTGTTTGGAAGTTACTACTATTTACATGTAGAAAGGTTTTGTCTAGAAGTCTAGTCTAAAAATTGACAACCAGTGGGTAGCATTTTTCAGGTTATGATTATGTATTAATAAATGTGCCACCTATCTCACATGATTTGATGCCCCACCGTATGGCAGAGAAACTTAAAGCTTCTCCCAGGCCTCCAATAAGGATGGTTCCCATTGCCACTGCATCCTCTCTATCGTTTTGGCAGTCTTAGTTTTCTCTGCTCTGGCTTATTCAATTGCAGTCTTCTTTCTGCCTTTGAAAATTAAATAAAATCTGTGAAGTTCTGGTTCAGTGATGATAGTTTTTTTTTTTTTTTTATACATTGTTATAGATTCACCGCCCCCCCCCCATGTCTTTAGCGATGTCTCATATGGTTAGTGGGAGGGATATACTAAAACAGATGTCGCCTTTAAAATGCTTTAAGCAAGAATGTGACATCAAATTTACTTCAAAATTAAAAAAAAATTTTGATTCACTTATGTTTACATGTGTTAGAATTCATTCTTTTTGGTGTGCAGTTCTATGTGTTTCTAGTTTCTGTGAGCATGTAATTGTGTAGCCACTTTTCTTATAAAGTTAAATGTACATTTAACATATGATCCAGCAATTCCATTCCTAGGCATTTGCCCAAAAGATTTGCATTTTGGAAAAATCATTCTGGTTGCATTACAGAGAATGGATTAGATGGGGAATCAGGGCTTTGCAGTTAGGTAGACCTAAACTAAGGAGTCAGTGGGAATGGAAAGGAAAGGTGATTGATTCATCTGTAGGTTTTTTTTGTTTTTTTGTTTTTTTGTTTTTTTTTTTGCTTGGAAGGTGATTTGCTTTTATTTATTTTGCCAGTGAATGTGTAAGAGCAACATATACTTTCTTTTGTCATCTATTTAGGAAAAATTTTGAAAGCTGAAGGATAATGTCGAGCCATATTCACTATGAGATATAAACCTAAACAAAATTTCTATTCCAAGGAAGAAAAAAATCCAGTTTTCCCAAAGGAGAACTTTGTCTGCTTTCCTTACATTGAAATGCAAGTATTGCTGAAAACCAGTTTTTAATCCTCCACTTGACACACAGCCTGAAGTGTAATTAGCTAAGTTTGCAAGAGGGGGTTATTTTGTTAGGGTCCAAGATGTGTCTTTATCACACAGCAGTGTGTTTGTTTATTTATTTATTTTTGGCTGCGTTGGGTCTTTGTTGCTGCGCGCAGACTTTCTCTAGTTGCAGCGAGCGGGGGCTACTCTTCGTTGTGGTGTGCGGGTGTCTCATTGCAGTGGCCTCTCGTTGCAGAACATGGGCTCTAAGCACACGGGCTTCAGTAGTTGTGGCGCATGGGCTCAGTAGTTGTGGCTTGTGGGCTCTAGAGCGCAGGCTCAGTAGTTGTGATGCACGGGCTTAGTTGCTCCGCGGCATGTGGGATCTTCCTGGACCAGGGCTCGAACCTGTGTCCCCTGCATTGGCAGGCGGATTCTTAACCACTGTGCCACCAGGGAAGTCCCACAATGTGCTTTTTACAAGCAGACTTGTGCACCATGACTAAAGGACGTGTACAGATTCCAGTTCAATACATGGCAAGGCATTTAAGGGGCTGCCAATAGAGCTGACTTTCTGATTATTCTAGGAAGTAGAGACTCATCAACGAACACAGTAACCCCACTCTGCAAAGCTGGAGGCTGGCTAAAAGGAGCATTCCCACCAGACTTTCTGTGCCATAGCAAAGGAGATGCACAGTCTGTGGCTGGGTACACTAAGACATGGTTAGACCTACTGTACAACTGTGCACTTCATAACAGGGTAAAATCGCAGTAGTAAATTGTCTGACACTTTTTTGAGGTTATATTCCATAAGCTTAAAATTCAGATGTACTTATTTAAATTATTCAAAACATTGGGTTCTAAGAATGTTTATGCATGAGGTTAATATCTGCCCTATAGAGATTTATATATTTCTGCACAAATACCTCCAGTTTATCTGAACGCATCGGTTTTGGACCAGCAGCTCCTGGCAGTGGGAGAGGTGGGGGTTCCAGAAATCAGCACAGGTGCATTTGGTAAAAGTTTGGCAGGGACCAGGCCCATCCCAGGATGAGGTAAGTAGGGATTGAAAACCATGGCAGGATTAGCTGCCAGGGATGGAGTCACAGGAAAAGAAGTAAGTGATGACATTTGAGCATTTTGGAGCATAAACTGCATCTACTGGGTGAACAAGGCTGCAGCAGTCTCTTGTTGAATCAGATTGTTCCGTCCATTAATTTCCAGCTGCATTTTTAAATGTGGAGGAGGGTGAAGGTACTTGCAGTTCTCTCTAGCACACCGACTGTTAAGGTCATAAGCAGCCCCCTCCATGGAATCAGCCCAGGCTCTACTAGGCCTTCAGTTGCCTGGAGCAAAGCAGAAGGCACTCTCAGCCCCCCATTCGTTTGTTTATTCAACAGATATTAATTGAACACAGTATTGGACCTGGGTATACAGTGGTGAACAGAGCAAACATAAACTTTTCCCTTAATAAAATTTCAGTCCAGTGGGTGAGCAAACCTTTAACATATAGCTTTTTAAAAATTAGAAGTGTTGAAGAGAACAGGATACTCTATGAAAAAAATAGCAGGTTTGAGAGATGATAAGGAGGTAGGAACTTCGTTTGTATTTGTTGAGGAATAGAAACATTCCAAGGATAAAAGAGTTGTTTGACAAAAGGATAAGCGTGGGAATTTTAATGTTAACTCTTTTTTCCAACTCAAAGCTTATTTCAGGAAAATAGCTTTATGTGTTCACGGGAGTACTCAGATCTATTTGTTATGTCATCTGTATTATGAGGATAATCAAACTGCTTTCTAATGATGTTGGGATTAGATATAATACTTCATGTTAAAGCTGCAAGCACAGCTATTAACTTCATATGATTGCCGTGAAGATTAGATGAGTTGCTGCTTGTAAAAGGCTTAATTAAAATAATATCTGATAAATAATAAACTCAATAAATATTTAGCTGTTTTTATTGTCAGAAAATGTTGGTGGGTATCATCATTTTCACCATATGTCAGGCCATGGTTTTCTCTCTACCTGATTAGGCTTTCCTTTTCTTTTTGTAGAATGTTTTCATTGCAGTAAAGCCAAGTTCTAGTTTTCTTCTAATCGATCTATATTTTCAGAATGAAAACAAAAACTTGTATGTGTCTGTTTATAAATATATACATGAATTAGAAATATTAATTTGCCTTGACCTCTTGAACAGGATGAAGAATATTAATGGGTCAGACTCTTAAACAGCTTTTGATGATGCTTAGTTTTATTAACCTTTTTCTTTTCTTTTTTTTCCTACTTCTGTTTCTTTTTAAACCATTAGGAACATGTTTGACAAGTTGAACCGTGATGCCTTTCAGATAGTTTCTTATTTTTTGTTTCAAACACTTGACCAGTCTCTCACTAAAGAAGTTTTCAAGTGAGTAAAAGTTATTTCATTTTCTTTTTGTAGGGGATTTAAAAAGGGATTATGACTTTATATAAGCCAGAATTTCAACTTTGGACTTCAACTATTATTTTGAATGGATGTTATAAAAATTAGGCTCGAGTCTTACAAATTTAGTACTTAACCTTTATAAATCTGAGTGATTTTTTTTTGTAAAATTATTGTAAAGTAAAATAAAAATATAAAAATGTGAATATTCATTAGCCTTGGTTCTAAGTTATTTTGCATGTGATTTGGGTTTCGTCTATAAGAAAAAGTGTTCAAATTTTTTTTAATATTTATATTGTGCCCTCATCCTCTTATATAGTAAGTCCATTGTTTAGGGCATTGTTTTTACTTGTGATAATTTATTTTTAATATTTTGCCTTCAGTTAAAGTTATGAGTGACCAGGAGAACAAGTGTATTTGAAACATATTTTCTAAATCCCTATCATTAAGGTATAGGGCTTCCTCTGCTCAAATAAAAATAGATTTTTTTTCTAGATTATAAACAAAATACAGCTTACTTTAACCAGTTCAGCAAATACAGAAGAAGTTAAAGAAGGAAGTAAAAATTATTCCTAAACCCAACTAGAGAATATCACTGTTGACATTCCAGGTTTTTAGTCTTTTTTTCTTTGCATACTTAATTTTTTTCTATGAATATAGCATGTAAGTTATGCTATAGAAATACAAACAAAAATGGGGCCCTAATCAAATAATTGCCTCAGAATAAAAATTTAGACAAAACATTATAAGGAGAAAGCAATAGGCAAATTTTAAAGTTCATTATTTTTGACTAAAACTGAATTTTTAATAATTTCATATCTTGTTTGTCCACAAAACAGTAGCACCCCTGACTGTAATATAGGTTATCTCTAGGGGTCATGATCTCTTATGCCATTCTTTCTGTGCTTTTCATGTGTAACCATGTGTTTTTCTCTTTTTCCCCAGGCATTATTATCCTAATTTATTTATACCATCTTTATGCATGAGTCCAGTGAATTCATTGAGAGTGTTGTCTTCTTTAGCTGATTTTCAGTAATTTTAATAGTGATTCATTCCTATATTTAACTTATATATTCATTGATTATTTGCACTAAACTGAATTCAACCCTATAGATATTCATAAAGAAAAAGACCTAATTTCTTACAGGTTGTTCTCTTTAGTTGAAATTCATGAATGTTAGCCTTGATTTAGCATTAATATTTCTAGTATAGGAGATAAGTTTGATGTTTTAAAATTTTGCTGAGTTTGCTTTTTTATTCATAATTCTAATTTTTATTTTTGTTTTAAAGACTTTGTTGGCCTCCATTTGACCAAAAAAGTGATACTGAATTCCGAAAACATTGCTGTGAATGGTTAAAAAAGATTTCTGTAAGTATTTTCTTTCTGAAAGATGCAAACGTTTAAGAGGTAATTTTTTTTCAGGCTTTATTGAGGTACATTAATTTTTTTAGAGGTGAAATCTTTTTTTTTTTTTTTTTTTGTGGTACGTGGGCCTCTCTCACTGTTGTGGCCTCTTCCGTTGCGGAGCACAGGCTCCGGACGCGCAGGCTCAGTGGCGATGGCTCTCGGGCCCAGGCGCTCCGTGGCATGTGGGATCCTCCCGGACCGGGGCATGAACCTGCGTCCCCTGTATCGGCAGGCGGACTCTCAACCACTGCACCACCAGGGAGGCCCTAGAGGTGAAATCTTTTTAGTGCTTTTATGCTAACAGTATAAGCAAGAAATACTAATCAGGATAATACTTTCTGGTGGTTTTTGGTTGGGATTCTGTATATTTCTGGGAAGCCAGCTTTGTTGGCTAAGTGCATTAGAAATAGAATTTTGAGTTCCTGGGAATTTATATCACAGTTTTTGATTAAAGAAAAATTTTTTTTACCATAGATTATTTTAGCTTATGTCCCCAAATAGTATCAATAATTGTGGCTTTAAATTTTAATTGCTTTTTGTGACTGAGTCCACCAGGAGTTTAGAAGGATTCAAAAATTCAACTTGTGGTTCAAATGGAATAATTCTGGTAAACCCTGTTATGCTTCAAAATAGTATGATGTAAATATAAAGGTTGTTGTTAAGGTCTTCAAATCATCTTGTTTCTTTTTTCCATAGGCTGAATGTGGTAGCTTCCCTCAAGTTGTTGGTTCACTGTTTCTTTCTCCTGGTGGTCCTAAGTTTATTCATCTGATGTATCACTTTGCAAGATTTGTTGCAATAAATTATATAAAAACCCATTCTAAAAGTAAGTTAAGCTTACAGTAGGAGATTTTTTGTTTTGATTTTTAAGTTTTTATTATTTTTTTATAATTTGTAAATCATTAAGAGATTTTAATAAAATAAAGTAAGATAAAAATATTACTTTACCTCAAAAGGCAAATGGTTAATATTTTATTGGAACTGTAGTTTGAAATCCTCTTGTAATGAACATAGGTAGCAATACAGATTATTTTTTTATGTTCTGATACAGGGGTTGGGAAACATTTTCTGTGTAAGGCCTGACAGTAAATATTTTATACTTTGTGGACCACATAAGAGTGTCTGTCACATATACCTGTTTGTGAGGTTTTTTTAATTTTTAATTTTTGTAATATAACCCCTTAAAAATGTAGAAAGCAGTCCTAGCTTTCTGACCTCAGAAAAACAGCCAGTGGGCCAGGTTAGACCTGCAGGTTATAGTTTGCCTATAATTCATTGTATTAAATGTTGTGTTGAATTTGTTAGAGATTTATTTTGGCTACTGGCAATGTGTTGGGATATTTTGGTTCACAATTGCTGTTTTAAAGGGATTTGATCTATTTGCTAAATTACAGAAACAAAATATTGGGTTTTTCAGCTAAGACTTAAAAGAATGCTATTTGTAGCTTACTAAGTATGCTGCTCAGTTTAATTGAGTTATGCTTATAAAACATGGGAGGTAAAAGCTGGAAAAGTTGATGCAATAATATCCCATCTTCCAATTTCTGGAGACAACCATTGCTTACATTTTGGTTTGTTTTCTTTTAGGTGTTTTTGTTGTTGTTTGTGTGTTTTTTTAATGCACATAATATATGTTTTAATTATTTTGAATAAATGATAGATTCTCATGATTCAAAAATCAGAAAGTGAAAAGTCTGTCTTCCATCTCTAACTACCTAGTTTCCCTTCCCAGTAGCAACCATTGTAATGAATAATACTAGCAAATGTGTATATAATCTTTTTTTAAACCCTAAATGGTGACATACACCTGGGTTTGAATCTTGTGTTTTTTATGCAACAGTGTCTATTGGAGATCATCCCATGTCAGTTCATAGATCTTCCTTACTCTGTCTCTCTCTTAAGAATTGCATATTTGAATGGATGTGTCATAGTGTATTTAATCACACATTTGTTCTGAAATCAGTTCTGCTGGCAGACAGTTGGCTTTTTCCCTAATCTTTTGCTATAAAAAATAATGCTACAGTGACAAACTTTATACATATATCATTTTGTGTATGTTCAAGTATATATTGTATGTGTGTATATATATTTGTATATATGCACCCAAACACATACCTTTTTTCCAGTTTATCTTCTGTGCGTGATTTTTTAAAACATGTACATGTGATCTTGCTTTATAGGCATTTACATATTTTATTTTATTTTTAAAATTTTATTTATTTATTTATTTTTTTGTGGTACGCGGGCCTCTCACTGTTGTGGCCTTTCCCGTTGCGGAGCACAGGCTCCAGACGCGCAGGCTCAGCAGCCATGGCTTATGGGCCCAGCCGCTCCGCGGCATGTGGGATCTTACCGGACCGGGGCATGAACCTGTGTCCCCCACATCGGCAGGCGGACTCTCAACCACTGCACCACCAGGGAAGCCCTACATATTTTAAATTTAATGTAACATAAGCATTTTACCAGCTTTTCTGTTAGATTTATTCCAGTTACATGTAACCCAAACTATTTTATATGAATTACGTGTATTTGGATTTAGCAAGAGTTTATTGTACATAAGGCTTTTAAGCATGGGTTGTCATATTTCTCACTTAAAGCAGTTTCATTCAGCATATTCAGTCTCTAGGTGACTTCTACATCCAGCGAACTCATCCCCTGTTAAATATGTAGGAGTTTTGGTTATTTCTTTGCAGGTAATCTAGGACCTGGATTTACAATGTTAAGTATGGTGTGGGGTCACCATTTTCCAGAGTATCCATCTTTATTGTATTGAGCCATCTTAAAGTAGGATTTATTACATTTTATTACAGGTGAAAACCTGGACTCTCAAATGTTTAGATGGATTGTTGTCAGGGTCTGCTTTGATCATTAGTAACATAGCCAAGAATTACTTGAGAAATAGAGATTGGTTTTATTTGGTTGTCTTGTCCTGTTGGTCTTACTAGGAAGAAAAGTATGGTGATGGCAGCCATGAAGGTGATGTGCTCTCACCTCATCTCTTTTAATTGATTTTCTTCCTTTGTTGTTAAAAGATCAGTTGAGAAGTTCCTTATGTGTCATGATGTATTTGTTCATGGATGTATCACGCTGTGATAATAAGAATTACTTGGGGCACATGGACTCTTGAGAATTTTTAATTATGTAAAATAACTCAATTTCAGATATCCTTTTTTATTGCCTCGTTTAAAAGTAGGTAATCCTGGGCTTCCCTGGTGGCGCAGTTGAGAGTCCGCCGCCTGCCGATGCAGGGGACACGGGTTCGTGCCCCGGTCTGGGGAGCTC